GCCGGGGGGGTTGAGCAGCCGTGCTGCTGCTGCCCTTCCATCAGCCCCCAGATCCTCTGCAGCAGCCAGTGCCTGCACCCCCTGCGACCCCGCGTGTCCTCTGTGAGCCCCCCGAGTGTCCCCTGTCCCCCCCGGCCCCCCCGCAGCTGCCCCTCGGGACAGCCGCCAGGGGGCGCCCTCCCCGCACTCCGCCCCCCCCCGGGGCAGCCCCGGAGGCACCCGGGGGTCCGGACCCCCCCCCCCCGAAACCTCCTCACCGCGACCCCCGCCCGCCCCACCCACGGTGTCTGAGGAGGGGCGTCATGACCCGGGACCCCCAAACTCGCTGTTCCAGCCCCCCCGTGGGGACCCCCACAGCCTGGGGGAGCGAGGCGGTCCGGCTGTCCCCGGCCAACCCGGCCCAGGGACCCCACATGGGGGCCCGGGGGCAGCGGCAGGGCATGGGCGGCTTTGGGGGGAGCCAGCCCCCCCAGATCTCACCAGGGTGATGAAGGAGCTCGCTCCCGGCTGGGAGTGGCGGGAGCCGGGGTGGGGTCCCGGACACCCCGCGGGGGCCACAGAATCCCCGGCGGGGTCACACGGGATCCCCGGCGGGGCGCGGGAGCCGCGGCGGGGCCACGGGATGGACGGCAGCCTCTGACTCGGCCGTCTCCTTCCTGCCCCGCCTGGCCCCGGGGCCGGCGGCCCCCGGCCCCCCAGCCCGGCCCGGCCCGGGCCCCCCCGGCCCCCCCAGCCCCGCCGGCGGCTCTTGCATCAGCCCGGTGCTCCGGGCTGTGCCCCACTGATAACGCCCGACACCGGGCGTCGGCCCCCGCCCCGCTCCGCCCGCTGCCCCCCCCTCTGCCCCGCAGCGCCCCGGGCCGGGCTGCGGGGCCGGGAACCCGCGGGGTGCTGCGGAGCCTGGCAGCGAGGGCACCGGGGCCGCCCAACGCATCCCCTTGCCCGCAGAGCCCCGCACGGAGCCCACGCTCCAGCAGAGCACGGCAGGATGGAGCGCGGTGCAGGGGCCCCGTCCCGCAGCGTGTGCGTGGGACCCGGCACACCCCGAACCCCGCGTGTGGAGCTCCCTGTGGAGCCCATACACCCCACAGCACCCCCGCCTGCTCCCTATGGAGCCCATACATCCCCTGCCCTGGCTCAGGACTGGGCTCGCACCCTCTGCACCGAAAGCCCCGGCCGGCTCAGCGCGGAGCCCGCACACCCCACGCCATCCCCGCACGGTGGCCGGGTTCCGTCCCGCAGCCTCCAGGGCTCTGTAGAGCCCGCGTGTCCCGCACCATCCACGGGGCACGGCTGGGAGCCCTCCCGCCCCCTCCCACGGCCCCGTGTGGACTCAGCACATCCCAAACCATCCCCGCAACGTGGGACCGCTCCTTCCCGCAGTGGGTACAGACCCGCGGCTCCCTATGGAGCCCGTACATCCCATGCCATCCATGCGGCATGGCTGGGATCTTTCATCCATCAGGTGCCCAACACGGGTCAGCATGGATCCCATACATCCCACACCATGCACAGGGCACGGCTGGGACCCCTCCCACCACACGTGCCCTCCTGGCTCCCTATGGAGCCTGCGCCCCCGTCCCACAGCATCTCCCACCCCAACACACCACGACAAGGCAGGGGGCACCCCAGGGTGCCCTCCCAGCCCCGCCATCCCCCCGCCCACCCCGTCCTCCCCCTCCGAGCCCCAGGGACACCCCGAGGTGACCCCGCACCTACCCCTGGGGTGCCTCCGCCGCCCCTGCCCGCGCTCTGCCCGCGGCTGCCCGGGGTGTGAGACGCCGATGCCTGAGTCACGCTCACCTCCCTAATCTTGCCCCCCTCGGGCTCACCCGGCCCCCCCGGGGCCCCCCGTAAAAACAAGGTTATCGGGGTGCAACATCTGCCGTGTGGCGTAAAGCTGCGCCCCGGCTGAACCCCTCCTGCACCCCGCTCAGCCAGCCCGGCACCCCGGGACCTGCTCCCGCTGCCCCCCCTCGTCCCCCCGGTCTTGTTTACCTCCGGGTTTCCCTGCGGGGAATCCCCGGGATCCCCTCGGTTGTCCCCCCCCCCTTTCTGCGGGGTTGGGGTGTTCTCTTTTTTTAAAAAAAAATTGAAGAAAAGGGGTTCCTGGAGGTTCCCCGGGGAGGAGGCGCGGGGGGGACGCGGGACGGGGTGTCCGTGTGTGCAGGGATTGGTGTCACTGGGGTGCCCGGGAGAGGGGTGGGATGCTTCGGAGGGGGGCGAGGGGTGCGTGCACCTGTGTGTGTGTGTGTGTGAGGGGTGCACAGCCATCCCTGTGTGTGTGTACACTGTGTGTGTGTGCTGTGTGTGTGTGTACACACTGTGTGTGTGTGTGAGGGGTGCACAGCCATCCCTGTGTGTGTGTACACTGTGTGTGTGTGCTGTGTGTGTGTGTACACACTGTGTGTGTGTGTGAGGGGTGCACAGCCATCCCTGTGTGTGTGTACACTGTGTGTGTGTGCTGTGTGTGTGTGTACACACTGTGTGTGTGTGTGAGGGGTGCACAGCCATCCCTGTGTGTGTGTACACTGTGTGTGTGTGCTGTGTGTGTGTGTACACACTGTGTGTGTGTGTGAGGGGTGCACAGCCATCCCTGTGTGTGTGTACACTGTGTGTGTGTGCTGTGTGTGTGTGTACACACTGTGTGTGTGTGTGAGGGGTGCACAGCCATCCCTGTGTGTGTGTACACTGTGTGTGTGTGCTGTGTGTGTGTGTACACACTGTGTGTGTGTGTGAGGGGTGCACAGCCATCCCTGTGTGTGTGTACACTGTGTGTGTGTGCTGTGTGTGTGTGTACACACTGTGTGTGTGTGTGAGGGGTGCACAGCCATCCCTGTGTGTGTGTACACTGTGTGTGTGTGCTGTGTGTGTGTGTACACACTGTGTGTGTGTGTGAGGGGTGCACAGCCATCCCTGTGTGTGTGTACACTGTGTGTGTGTGCTGTGTGTGTGTGTACACACTGTGTGTGTGTGTGAGGGGTGCACAGCCATCCCTGTGTGTGTGTACACTGTGTGTGTGTGCTGTGTGTGTGTGTACACACTGTGTGTGTGTGTGAGGGGTGCACAGCCATCCCTGTGTGTGTGTACACTGTGTGTGTGTGCTGTGTGTGTGTGTACACACTGTGTGTGTGTGTGAGGGGTGCACAGCCATCCCTGTGTGTGTGTACACTGTGTGTGTGTGCTGTGTGTGTGTGTACACACTGTGTGTGTGTGTGAGGGGTGCACAGCCATCCCTGTGTGTGTGTACACTGTGTGTGTGTGCTGTGTGTGTGTGTACACACTGTGTGTGTGTGTGAGGGGTGCACAGCCATCCCTGTGTGTGTGTACACTGTGTGTGTGTGCTGTGTGTGTGTGTACACACTGTGTGTGTGTGTGAGGGGTGCACAGCCATCCCTGTGTGTGTGTACACTGTGTGTGTGTGCTGTGTGTGTGTGTACACACTGTGTGTGTGTGTGAGGGGTGCACAGCCATCCCTGTGTGTGTGTACACTGTGTGTGTGTGCTGTGTGTGTGTGTACACACTGTGTGTGTGTGTGAGGGGTGCACAGCCATCCCTGTGTGTGTGTACACTGTGTGTGTGTGCTGTGTGTGTGTGTACACACTGTGTGTGTGTGTGAGGGGTGCACAGCCATCCCTGTGTGTGTGTACACTGTGTGTGTGTGCTGTGTGTGTGTGTACACACTGTGTGTGTGTGTGAGGGGTGCACAGCCATCCCTGTGTGTGTGTACACTGTGTGTGTGTGCTGTGTGTGTGTGTACACACTGTGTGTGTGTGTGAGGGGTGCACAGCCATCCCTGTGTGTGTGTACACTGTGTGTGTGTGCTGTGTGTGTGTGTACACACTGTGTGTGTGTGTGAGGGGTGCACAGCCATCCCTGTGTGTGTGTACACTGTGTGTGTGTGCTGTGTGTGTGTGTACACACTGTGTGTGTGTGTGAGGGGTGCACAGCCATCCCTGTGTGTGTGTACACTGTGTGTGTGTGCACATCCCCGTGTGTGTGTGCACATCTGCGGGCAGCGCTCACACCCGCGGGCGGGTGTGCACACACACGTGCGTGTGTCCACGCTTACAGCCTCTCTAAAATCACCTCAGCCTCAAATCCCGATCCCAGATCCCAGGGCCAGGGTGAGGAGGGCGAGCCTTGCACAGCCCTGCGCACACACGCGGTCCCACAGCAGGTCCCGCACTGTCCCCCAGCCGTGAGGTGACACCGGAGCTGTCCCCGCTGGGCCAGACCGGCTCCAGGCTGGGGACTCGGTGGCACCGGCAGTGGAGGGAGGGGCGGTGCTGGCTCTGGGTGTCCCGATAACGCCCCCCGGCCTTATCTGGGCGCTGCCGGGGGCTCCCCTCCCTGCACAGCCTTGGGGGTTTTGGGGGTCCCTCCCCACTGTCCCCCAGCCGGGTTCTCTTGGCTGAGGCCCCTTGGCAGGGGCGGGGGGGTGTGTGGCACCCTGGTGGGCACAGGAGGTGGGACATGTCCCCTGGGGGATGTCCGTGTGCTGAGGGTGACTCTGATTTATTTGGGGGCTCTGGGGGTTTACGTGGCTGCTGTGGGATTCACCAGCCAGCCCCTTCCCCATTTCTCTGTCACAACAACGGGAAACTGAGGCACGGTGACAAACGGGGTCGGGGGGGGCTGCCCCCAGCGCGGTCAGCCCCCGCCCACCCCGGTGAAGGGGGTCCCTCGCCCCCCCAGACCCCGCGTGGGGGTGATGCTCAGCCCCCCCAAAACGGGGATCGAGGCAGGGCAAGGCAGGGGGTGGCGATCTGACCCTGGGGTGGGCAAAAGACCCCCCCAGAAACCCCTGGAACAGCCCCCTCCCCTTGGCTCAACCCACGGGGTCCCCCACCAGCGGCACCTCGTGTCGGGAGGGACAGGTGGGGACCCCTCCGGGGGACTCCGGCCCTCCCCGCTTTATTCTCCCCCCCCCATCCCCCGGAGAGAGATTTGGGGGGCCGGGGGCGGGGAGAGCATCCCTTGGGGGGGGGCGGCGCACGGCCCGTGGCGTGGGCACCGGCGGAGCAAAGCCTGCGCGGCGCGGGGGGCCGCGGCCGAGGGGTGCGGGGTCCCCGCGGGGGAAGGGGCATCGCCCGCGGCCGCGGCGGCTGGGCCGCTGGATGGAAGCGAGCTGGGTGCCGGCTGCCATGGCTCTGGGGCTCTCCTCCAAGAAAGCTTCCTCCAGGAATATCGCCGTGGAGAGGAAAAACCTCATCACCGTCTGCAGGTGCGGGGCCGGCCGGGGGGGCACCCCAAAATTGGGGGGGGGGAGGGAGCGGGGAGAGGGAGAAGCGACCACCGCTGGTGGGGATG